AGCACCAGAGCGTCGCGCGCTTGCCGACAGTCGTCGGCTGGGCGGGCTGCAAGTGCGTGAAGCCGAGCGTCGGTAGGTCGCGGTGCTTCTCGGCGAACGCGGCGAGGGCGTCGATGACGGCCGCCAAGCGGCTGGCGACGAGTTCCAGCGACTCGCGGATGACAATCACGTCGGCGTTATCGACGACAAAGTTGCTCGTCGCGCCGAGGTGGATGATGCCCTTCGCATTGGGACACGCGTCACCGTACGTGTGGACATGAGCCATCACGTCGTGACGGAGCTTCTTCTCGTAGCCCGCCGCGGCGGTGAAGTCGATGTCATCGACCTTCGCCCGCAGCTCGTCGAGCTGCGCCGCGGTGATCGGCAGCCCCAACTCTGCCTCCGCCTCGGCGAGCCACACCCACAGCCGCCGCCAGGTCGAGAACTTCTTCTGCGCTCCCCACAACGACGCCATCGGGCGCGAGGCGTAGCGCGAGATTAGGGGGTTCTCATAAACTTCGTGGTCGGGCATCGTCTGGCGGGACAAAAGGGGGACGCGGATTTTCACGGATTAATAAGGATCAACGCGGATTGGTCTCAGCTTGGATCCGCGTCGATCCGCTGAATCCGTTGACATCCGCGTCCCGTTCTTCTTTACATATTTGTTAGATCGTCTTCGCTCCGGCTGCCGACAAGCGCGTCGAGCGCTTCGCCAACCGCGGCGGCGTGTTCTTTCGGGTGGTTCTTCTGCAAGTAGACGCGGCAAGCGCGGTGGGCGACCGGCAGCTGGCGGAAGAGTTGGTCGTCGGTCAGCGGATAAACCTTGCCCGTTGACGGTTTGAACTGATAGTTCTGGCCCGCCGTTGCGGCCAGCGCGTCGGGCCGGTAAATGTGACGCGGCAAGTCGATCTGCATCGGCAGGTCTTCGATATCGGCGGGCAGGCGGCTACGGATGGCGTGCTCCAACAGGCCGGCGTCGCTGAACAGGCTCGACTGTTCCGACTCGCCGGGGCGGTACGTGACGTTGCGGTCCTCGACCGCGATCCAATCGACCTCACGGCCGAGAATGCGTTCCCAACGCGGTGCGAGCAGTCGCTTCTTGGCGTCGCTCGACTCGGCCCAGCGGCTCACGTCGATTAGCAGCGACCACTCGGTGAACCGGCAGTAGTCGTCGAGCCGCTCACGGGGGTCGTGGGGGAACAGCAGCTCACGGCTATCGACGAAGATGTCGCGCAACGTCTTGTCGATCGCCCGCACGGTGCGATGGAAGTAGACGGCGCGGAACAGCTCGCTCTTCGTCTGGACGAACTTGATCAGGGCCGAAAGCCCCTTCTGGTGGATGGTCAGGCCGCGGTCGCTGAAGAAGCTGTAGCGCAACAGACGTTCGAGGTCGTACGCCCGGGCGCTGTAGCCGGTCATGTAGGCGTCGCGGAGGACGAAGTCCATGCTGTCCACGGTGTAGAGCCCGCAGAAGAGGCTCCGCAGCAGCACTAGCCAGCGCGGCCACTCGCTGGAGTCGTCCCGCTTGGGACGCTGAATGAGCATGGCGACGTGCGCCGGGTCGATCGACTCGCCCGCCTGCATGCGGCCGCTGGGGCACTCGTAGATGCCCTCGAGCAGCTTCGCCAGCTCGTGCTCAATGATGAAGGCGCCGAGCGTCTCGTGCGTCAGGCCGTAGTGCGGCTTGAGGAAGTGCTCGTCGAAGAAGTGGCCGAAGGGCCCGTGGCCGACGTCGTGCAGCAGGGCCGCGGTGCGGCAGAGGCAATCGACCGCCTCGCGACTAGGAACGTCCCCCTTACAGACGTCGTGCAGCGATTCGTAGAGCGTCTCGACCGCCCGGCTCGCCATGTGCATGGCGCCGATGACGTGCTGGAACCTCGTGTGCTCGGCGGACGGATAGACCCACCAAGCGGTCTGGAGTTGGTGGATCTGCCTCAGCCGCTGGAGCCACGGGTTGTCGAGCAGCCGGCGTTCGCTTACTTCGCCGTCGGGCACGACCGAGACGAACGGCACGTAGCCATGCACCGGGTCGTGAACGAGGCTTTCGCGGGTGAAGTCCTTCATGCCGGCGATTCTCGCCGGTTAGAAGCTCACCGCCAAGACGCCAGGAGCGCCAAGGACCGCCAAGAAATTTTTTAGACAGGATGAACAGGATTGACAGGCATCAGGAGTTCCATCCTGTTGATCCTGTCAATCCTGTCTAACTTCTTCTCCTGGCGATCCTTGACGCTCTTAGCGCTCTTGGCGTCCTGGCGGTTCCCCTTTATCGGCAATCGACGGCGCAGAACCAGCTGCGGACGCGATCGTCGCCCAGGGCGTGGTAGAACATCCACGGCACGGCGGTGGCCACGCCGGCGACGCAGAGTTTGACGGTCCAGGCGGCGAGGGCGGGATCGACGCCGGACCAGAGCCGGTAGCCGACCGCCAGGGCCCCCGCCACAACAAGGGCGGGCATCACCACCATGTTGATCGTGCCCGTCGCGGCGGCGAGTTGCCGGCACGCCCGCCACGCCGAGACGACCCGTCGCGGCAGGGCCAAGCCTAGATACGCGGCGCCGCCCCCCAGGCCGAGGAAGAAGACGGCGTCGGTGAAGTCCTGCACGCCGCCGAACCAGAGGCTCGCCGCGCGGATGAAGCAGACCGCCGAAACGAGCCAAGCCAGGGCGGCCGTCGCCCGGACGATCGGCGGGGCGAACGCCGTCGCCGTGTGGTGTTTCTTGTTAGAAGTCCGTCGGGGGTGTTGAATCGCGGGCGGATCGGGCATCGGACACGTCCTCAGAGGGTCGGCTCAAGGGCCAGAGGGTCGGTCAGTGGTAGCGGATGTAGCGGTCGGGGTAGCGGCAAGCGAACGTCGCGCCATTGATTGGCGGCAAGCGGCTGCCAGAGGTTTGACCCCCGCGAGCCGCGCCCGAAGATAGTTAGTAGTGCTCCTCGACGAAAATCGCCCGCTGGCGAACCGGTGGGGCCCGCCGCCCGCGATCTGTTATGGCCTATCTAAAACGTACCTTGCGTTTTCCCCCCGCGCCGGCGGTGAAGACGCTTTGGCGTTTTTGTCTGGCCGGCGCCGCGTGCCTGCCGCTCGCCGGCTTCGCGGCCAGCCTAGCGACAGCCGCGACCATCCAGATCAAAGACGGCCGCGTCCTCGTTGGCGAGTTGGGCGAGACAAGCGGCGTCGCCGAAGACCCGCTGGCGCCCAATACCGCCTCGGGCGGAACCAACCTCAAGTCGATCCTCGTCGTCGAAGACGGCCTACGGCGCACGTACCTGCACAAGACGGCCGTCCGTGAGGTGCTCGATCAGCGCGGTGAACCCACGGTCAAGATCCGGGTCTGGCAGAACGACGCCAAACGCGGCGCATCGCTGGGGGTGATCGGTGCGCCGTCGCGGGTCAGCCCGTTCGACGACCATGGCCGGCGGATCATCGAGTTGCCGAGCGACAAAGGCCCGATCTCTGTCATCCAGGGCGTCACCGAGGTCACCCCGGTCTACACACGCGTGCAAGGCCTCCGCGCCGAGCCCCGCAGCTACATCTGGGACATGCGGTTGGCGACCAGCAGCCTGCCGCGCGAAACGCTGAGCACGATCCTGACGGGCGCTGTCGCACAAGACGACTTCGACCAGCGGATGCAGGTCGTGCGGCTGTACCTGCAGGCGGAGCGTTACCGCGACGCGGCGCGGGAACTTGAAACCATCCGCGACGACTTCGCCGGCCGCGCGGGCGTCGAGGCCGAGGACATCGACGACAACCTGCGGCGGCTGCGTGAGCTGGCTTCGCGGACGCTGCTGGCGGAGATCGAGCTGAGGCAAGCGGCGGGGCAACACCAGCTGGCTCGGTCGCTGCTCGAACGCTTCCCCGCCGACGGCGTCGCCGGCGACACGCTGCAACGCGTGCGCGAGCTTCTCGACGACGACGACGCGACGCGCGACCTCCGCGCCGATCTGCTCGATCAACTCGAACGCACCGTCGAGGGCTTGCAAGACGAAGCGACTCGTCGCGTCGCGGCGATCATTGTCGCCGAGATCAAGCAGCGGCTCAGCTCGGCCAGTGAAGACCGCTTGACGGCGTTTCGGCAACTGGCGACGGGCAACGCCCTCGGCGCCGAAGAACTCGCCGCGGTGGCGATCAGCGGCTGGCTGCTCGGATCGAACAACGCAGTGGACTCGCTGCCGGGCGCGTTGCAGCTGGTGCGGATTCGTGACAACGTGCGGCGTTACCTCTCGACGCGCGACGCCCAGGCTCGCGACGCGGTCTTCTTGACGCTGCAAGACGCCGAGGGCGCCGAGGTCTCGAAGATCGCCGAGCTGGTCGCCCGGATGGAGCCCCCGCTGCCGCTGGTGGACCCGGTCGATAACGAATCCGAATCCGCCGCATCGCCACCCACCACCGGCGCCGTGCCCGGTTACTTCGAGCGTTTTGTGAAGGTGGGCGACCGCGAGGTCCGTTGGGTCGTGCAGCTGCCGCCCGAGTACGACCCGCTACGCAGCTACCCGACGATCGTCACGCTGGGCGACCTCGGCGTCGCGCCGGAGCGGCAGCTCGACTTCTGGTCCGGCGGCGTCCGCGAAGGGATTGGCCGGGTCGGGCAGGCGACGCGGCACGGCTATGTCGTCGTCGCGGTCGAAT